AAAGAAACAGGGGCTGTGTGGGTGGGAGAGGAGGAGGTCAGCTCTGTACTCCTGAAAGGGGTGGGGCCTCAGGCAGAAGGGAACCTGTTGGGGCAGCCAGTCCTCAGAACTGGGTCCCCACCCAGCCACCCTGAGCACCACCTAAAATGCGCCACCTGATGTTCTTGTGGCAATTTGAAGCACCTATGGCTCTAGCCCCCGTCACCGCTGTAGCAAATGTGGTAGCGGGTGAAGCCCCGGGTCATTTTGTATCACTAGGCCCTGTGGCAGTTGCCCATTTTGTTGTCCCTTCCCCCTTCCTAAACTCCACCCCCATCAGCAGGCCTGTATTATTGAAGCAAGTGACACCAATTTTAGGCCTGGCTGCCTGTGAAAAATTCAGTCTGGTGGGTGCTCTCACTTCAAGATCATACTTAACCTGTCTATGAGGCAATCATTTAGGAATATCATAATTCGTTTCAAGGATTGGTTGCTTGCAGGGTGAACATACAATTCAGATAAACAAGCAAATCCCTCCAGTTATCCATCCATGTAGAAATGTGCCAATTGAACCTATAATAAACTTAAGGCTGAACTCACAAGAATGGAAGCAATGCATCTAATAGAAAAAAAACCTGGCAAGAATGGAAGCAATGCATCTAATAGAAAAAAAAAAACCTGAAGGAGTCAACAGAATGGGTCAGTTCCCTAGTCACTGTGGAGAAAAGCAACAATCAGCTACACCTAGATCAGTATTTCTCAAAGTGGTTCATGAAACCACTTTGAGAAACCTGTTAACTGGCAGTTCCGGTTTTCACTTTGAGAAACCTGTTAACTGGCAGTTCTGATTTTTTTACTTACCGGTGCTGTGGCCACAGAGCTTTGCAGCTCCTATTGGCTCCATTTTGCTGTTTTCAGCCAAGGGGAGCCATGGGAAGTGGCATGGGCTGGCTGCTACTTCCCGTAGCACTCCTGGGCTGAAAATGGTTAAACGGAACTAATAGGAGCCACGAGGCTCCATAGCTGTGGACGCCAGTAAGTAAACAAATTGGTGTGGCCAGTTAACAGGTTTCTCAAAGTGATGTTGCAGACCACTTTGAGAAACGCTGACCTAGACTGAAATCTGAGAGGCCTCAATAAAGCTATAAAAGGAGAACATATCAAACTGCCATCCAGACAAGAGGTTATTACTCAACTTGCGAATGCACATTTCAGTAAGTTGCATGTCTCCTCAGAATTCTGGCAGCAACAATTAATGGAAAAAAAGCTCAAAATTATGCATATTTAAGAATCTTCCAAATGAGACATTATGTCTACCCTTCATCCCCAGAAGTGTACCACAGAACTGTACCTGTGATATATAAATATAAATGGTCTCAATACAGCAATTAATGATATCATAATTTGGGGTTCAACTAAAGAACAGCATCATTACAGACTCCTACTGGGTGTGGTTCACAGTCACACATAGTGGCACTTATATCACTTACAGTGAGAGATAAAAATGAGTGCACGCTACATCCTTAGCTAGGAACTAGCTGGCTCTGTTGCTCAAGCTGTAGAGGCTCATGCACTATGCTCCAGAGATTCCAGGTTTGATTCTGCCTCTCTGCAGTTACACTGGGATACAACTGTGTTTTAGGGATTCCAGAATTGACTTTTGTTGGAGATATTATTTCCAGCAAGGGTGTAAAATCTGGCAAGCAGAAGGTTTCAGCTAGTGAAATGATGCTGTGTTCCCAGTCAAAAAAAGATGTCCAACAGTTCCTGGGAATGTTAATTATTTTAGACTACTCATATCTAGTCTATCTACAAAAGCAGCAGCTTTGAAGAAAATAAAAATGAATGGTATTGGTATGTAGAATAGGAGGAATCATGGGAAGGTTTGAAACAGCAACTCACACAAGAGCCAGCATTGAAATTCAATGCACCAAGCAGGCATATTAAAATTTCAGCAGATGCTTCTTAGTCTGGATTAGGTGCAGTGATTTTACAGAAACCCAATGAGTGCTGGCAACCAGCAATGTACAAATCCAAATCACTGATCGATGTGGAAAGCAGATATGCCCAGACTGAGAAGGAGATTTTAGGAATATTGTTTGCCTGTAAGAGAGTCAAGCAATATATTTATGGCCAGATAGTGGATGTTGAAATAGACTGCAAGCCCCCCATAGCATTATTTGGCAAACCTCTAAATGAAAGTATCTTAAGTATTAAAACAGTGACAATGAAGCAGCAAGAGTATGACTGGGTTATGACGAACACAAGCAGAACATTCATATTTACTGCAATGCACTTTCCAGTTTGATAACTCTCTTTAAGAAACCAGAGAAGATCTTAAAAATAGAGATGCAAGTCTGGGTAGATCTGATTGTAAAGTCAATTCCTATAGCTAACAAAAAAACTGCAACAAATAAGAGGGGAAATGGAGAAAGATGAACCATTGGGAATCCTTAATGTGATCATTAAAGAGTGGCTTGAAGAACTATGCAGCTGCTGTCCAAGTATAAGAGACTGTTGGAACTGCAGATACGAACTTACTGTGACAGAGTGATTTTCAAGGGCAGTGAGGTTGTAATACCAATAAATCCCCAGAAAGAAATGCTATAGAAGATTCCCCAGGGTCATTTAGGAATTGAAAAGAGCAAGCAGCAGGCATGAAAGGTGATGTATTGACTGCAGATCAAACATGAGATTACCAGTGCAGTAGGAAACTGCTTTTCATGCTTGAACTAGAAGCCATGTTAGCAGGCAGAGCTACTGAGACATCACACAGTACCACAAAGGCCTTATAAGAAAGTAGGCACTGACTTATTTACCTAACAACTCAAAAATTATTTAATAGTCACAGATTATTATTCCCTATATCCAGAAGTTTGCACATGGCACAGTACTCAAAGTAAGTCAGTGATAGCCAACTTGAAGGGAATGTTTTCAATACATGGAATTACAGATGAAGTTTCTCTGAATAAGGTGCTGCAATTTTTCACTGCGGATTTTAGTTAATTTGCCACTGATTGGGATTTTAATCATAAAATATGAAGTTCAAATTACTCCCAATGAAATGGATTTGTGGAAAGGTCTATACTATGGGTGGACTAGACACGGTTCATCAGGGGTAGCCTCTAGCATGCCACCAGATTCTTTATTTACGCATGTAAGACCTTGGATGCAGAAATTCATTAGTGTTATTTTTTTGGCTCTGAATCATAGAGGTGTAAATCCTCTGGCACACTCTACATAAGAGATGGGAGATCATGGGATGTTTTGTCTGAATAATATTTCTTATAACTTCAGACAATGGAAAGGGACTGGAATTTGATTCTCATAAAATGAAAAGGGAAGGGTCTGGCAGGAGGGACAGTTATACTGTAGAATAACCACAGGGGGCAGAGATGAGGACCAGGACCACTATAATCCCACTGAGACAGCACAGGGTACGGGTGGAGAAAGAAACAGCTACTCTTACAGAGTGTTTGTGGGTATGTCTACACTTGCACCCTAGGTCAAACTAGGAATGCAAATGAAGGCATTCGAAATAGTCAGTGAAGCGGGGATTTAAATATCCCATGCTTCATTAGCATGATCGCGCCAGCACATTACTCTGAATGCCAGCTGATTCAAAAATGAAAGTGTGCGCTGGGACGCATTAATTCGAACCAAACTCCTTGGTTTGAACTAATGTTACTCCTCAAAAAATGAGGGGTTTGGTTCAAACTAACGCATCCCGGTGCACACTTTTACTTGCAAATCAGCTGGCATTCGGAGTAACGTGCCGGCGAGATCATGCTAATGAAGTGCAGGATATTTAAATCCCCACTTCATTGACTATTTTGAATGCCTGTGAATGCCTGCATTTGCATCCCTAGTTTGAACTAGAGTGCAAGTGTAGACATACTCTTTGTCTGTCTGTATGTGTGCCTATCTGGTCCCTCAGATGGGGGACATGCACCTCTCCCCTCACTGTACCCGCTGCAGCTGTAATGGCCATGGACAGGCCCTTCTTACCTGGCTCCAAGCAGCTGCGGTGAGAGAGGGATGCATGTCCTCTCACCCCAGGGAAGGCTGCATACTGAAACCCTTATTTCTAGCCCCACCCCAGAACAATGATTTAAATGAAGAAAAACAAAACTTGTTCCAAGTAATGCTGGGTGACTCTTCTAGTATAATATACGTGTAAAAGTTATTTTTCTTTTAGAGGGAAGATGTAGAAATATGTTTGTGCAACATTACAATTTAGAGACACTCCTTCATAAGGGACTGAATTATGAATATAGGAATTATATCTGTCTTGCAAATCACTACAGACACTCTCTAGTTTAGTTAACTAAAATTTTATTCCTTTCTCTTCATCTGGTTTGTTACTTAATGAATCCCAAGTTCATCACAAGGCCTTGAACCCCACCATGACTGGTTTTACTTGTAGGTCTGGTGTGCAGGGGACTTGTGGGTGGTCTAGGTTTCCCATGACAGCTCCTACCCTTACTACTCTGCGTCCTTAGTGCATGAGGTATACGTCCTTAGTGCATGAGGTATACGTGTAGTATATCTACAATTCATGGGTTGCAGAATGGTTCCTTGGGGTAGGGTCAGCTGCTTATAAGAAGTTTGAGTTACAAATGGGCTACATCTATTTCAGACTTTCCAAAAGTCAGCTATTTTAGCCAGAGCTTACCCAATTAATTCATACAAGCCACGCATGACTGCCTTTGCACTCTGATAAGAAAATCTTTCTGTGGCACACAATGAACAAGAGGCGAAATCAGATGCAATTAAGCAAGACATACTATGGGTTGAGTTGCTAAATGAGCATACAGCAGGCTAAAGCTGTAGTGCAGTCTAAGATCTTTTACACACACACAACATGAAACTCAAATATGGGGTAACATTTTTACACATCCAACCTCAGCTTGAACTAATAGTAAAGGCTTGTGATGTGGGATGGCATTTGCTTGTTGATCTGCTGGTAAGATGGCCTTGTAATGTTCTCTTTTTGACCAAGTTGTGCATTTTCATTACAGGAATTGTTGGTCTCTGGTCTCTTGCTCTGCTGGCTTTTGAGCGGTACATTGTGATCTGTCGTCCATTGGGAAATATGCGCCTGAGGGGAAAGCATGCAGCCCTGGGCATTACCTTTGTGTGGCTCTTCTCCTTCATCTGGACCATTCCTCCTACCATGGGCTGGAGCAGCTACACCACCAGCAAAATTGGAACTACCTGTGAACCCAACTGGTAAGATAATTCCCATAGTAGATCAGTGAAAGAACAAAACTTAGAGCCTGAAAGTACACACACTAGATTGCATGCCCATTTATGTGTCATGTTTGTGCTCACACAAACTCCACTATGTGCTCAAGCCCTGATTTGTGCATGCACAGAGGTATTTGCCCACAGAATACATGGTAATTTTTATGCACTGGCAAAAGAGCATGATATGCACTGTGTACCCTTTGAAAAATCTAGACCAGAAAATTTAACAGGTAAGTGCCTGCATTTCAAAGGATCACTAAATGTTTTATAATTACATTCTATTTATAAAATATATCTGTATGTGAGAGAAATTGATATTGCCATTTGGTGTCTTGGTAGACTATACTGATCTAGTTAGGATGATTTAGTTGGGGTTGGTCCCGCTTAGGGCAGGGAGCTGGACTCAATGGCCTCCTAAGGTCTCTTCCATCCCTAGGATTCTATGATTCTATTATCTCCAAAAACATTGGCCTTGTTAACAAAAGCATAACATGCAAGATTTGTTTTTTAAGCAAGGTCACACAGAGAAAAGAGGGATATGAAAGGATTCTTGAAACAAACTGAGGAAGTAATGTAATATTAAAAATATATTATATTTTGTGTTTTATACAGGTATTCAGGAGCCTATAATGATCATACCTACATTATTACATTCTTCACCACCTGTTTCATACTACCATTACTTGTGATTTTGATATCCTACGGAAAACTGATGAGGAAACTAAGAAAGGTGGGTACAACCACTACAAAAAGGGCATAATTATGCAGTCTGGAATTTTCAGCAAATAAGCACTGTTTTAAGACCACCAAAATGTAAGCAGATCAGATTTCCAGACATTGTGGAAGAATGGCTACTTAGCAAGCTATGATAAATCTGCTGACTACACACTGAGAAATTCCTACACTGGTAATACAAATGTCAGACTTTTCAAAAGTGATTGCTAATTATCAGTCCATGCAGTAATTTAAGTATCAGAGGAGTGAAAGAACATACTGCATTGTGCAAACTAACAAAGGAATGGACTGAGCCAATATAGCTATATTTATAGTTTTACTTCAAATCAGTGATGTTTCTTCAGATTTAAACTAAAGTCAATGACACTAATGCTGAAAAACAGCACTACAACACTCGATATATTTACATTAGTTTGTAAAAATTGTAAATTAAAGAATATTGTTCAACATGTAAAGTGGAAGGCAATAAACTGAATCCAGAAGATTTGCCAGAGACACAGGGATCTGAAAAAGATAACAGGCTTGAAAAGTGTTTTTGATTTAAAAATTATTCCAGCTCTCTCAAAATAGTACACACACAAAAAATGATCACAAATTTGCTTAAAGTGTGTTACTATGCTACTCAAAGTGTGTTTGCTGCCTAGAGAGAGAATGTTATTATCTTTATTTCATCAACAAAGCAACACCATCATAATACTTCAACTAATATTTAAGAAAGTAGGCTTTGTTGTATTGGGATTTTTAATTTAGTGTTTGGATAATCAAATGTCTGCTTTTATTTATTCTGCATTTCAAAGCAGGGTCTGCAAGTAAAACAAGACAGAAAAGTTAAAGAAATGAGTACCCAAGCTTTCATCCCCAAAACAAGTTTTAATTGTCTACTGGGATAAGTTGGACAGGAATCTACATGTTGTGAGTGAAAATGTTATGCCCATACAAAGCACATGAGATCTTTTATAGGGGAGAAGGCAGCACACTGCATTTATTGAGAATACAACAGTTAGCATATGCTTTTCAGTCACCCACACATACACACACCATGCACACAGTCCCGCCAGTTGATGTTATAGTTACCAGTCCAGAGTCTGGATCAATCTAGTGGCCAGCCAGATTGATCGCAGAGGGGAGCCGGGCTTTGTTGGTCGTGATCTGATGCTCCTGGAATTGGTGACAAGACGAACCTAAAGTCCCATGGCAAAGCACCCTGTTCTTACAGTCCCTTTTCTCTGTTGAAGTCTATGGATTTTGCTATGTCAGTTTGTGACCAGTTACTCCTTAATTGGTATTGTCTTTTGATGTTAACATTCCAAAACACCTCTGAGAGGGTCATCCTGTCCTGGATTGAGTTAATCAATTGTCTTTAGGGGTGCCAGCCTCCACCTTAAGGTTGTCAATCTACCCTTCCTTAATCATGGATGCACGTTGATGATTCTCTGGTGTTAATAAGTCTAGTTAAATTTCTTCACCCCTCCTCTCTTGACGATCTGGTTTTAACAATGAACTTCATACCTTATCTTTTTTTGATGCATACATTCCTCATTCACACAAAGTCTTTTACAGAGACCTTCAAAGGTATACAATCAACAGTGTTTTATATTGAGCAATAAAAAGCATTGTAAATTAAACCTTACTAAATCTTGTAATCAAAACAGTTCACATTATGGCCTTCAACATTTCTCTAATCTTATTAGCATAGACGCAATACAAGATCTTGTCTCTTATTTACTAAACCTTAAAACAAAGAAATGTATGTTTAACTAAAGGGTCTAATGGTCTGTCCCTGCCTTCACATCAATACAGACACCGGCAGTCTGTCAGATGCGTTTCTACCAATGCCCCAGAACAGTGGTCCCCAACCTTTTGGGGCTTCCGGGTGCCCAGGGGCGGGGCTGCTCCTGTGCTGCGCGGCCGGGGCCGCTCATGTACCACGCGGCCGGGGCTGTGAACACACCATGCGCCCGGGGCAGTGCCATGCATGGGCCACGCACCTGGGGGTGGGGCCACTCATGTGCTGTGCAGCCAGAGACCACACATGCGCTGCACAGGCACTGCATTGGGGACTACTGCCCAAGAGGGTCACAAAAAAGGGTGGCTGGCAGGATGAAATTAAGTCACACATTGCTACATTATTAAATCTGAAATCGTATATATAGTAGCCCAATGTCTGTGACTCTGTAACGCTGAACTGCTGGCTGTTCCCTCCGCGCGGCGCTGTTGCCTCCCACCATGGCGCTCGGCTGAATTCTGCACCACTCAGCCAGGCCGCCGTGGGGGAGAAAGCAGCACAAGTGGCCATTTGGGTGCGACAGTCCCCATGCAGCACCCCTTGCTCCCCTACTGCAGCCTGGCTGAGTGGCGCAGAAGTCAGCTGAGTGCCACGGCGGGGAGGGAAGGGGGGAGGGGGGGGGGCGCTGTTGCCTCCCACCATGGCGCTCGGCTGAATTCTGCACCACTCAGCCAGGCCGCCGTGGGGGAGAAAGCAGCACAAGTGGCCATTTGGGTGCGACAGTCCCCATGCAGCACCCCTTGCTCCCCTACTGCAGCCTGGCTGAGTGGCGCAGAAGTCAGCTGAGTGCCACGGCGGGGAGGGAAGGGGGGAGGGGGGGGACG